TCTTAAAAACATCAAATTTATTTATTTTTATGTAAATGTTATTAGATTGCAAAATTGTATAAATTGTATTTAAGCAGTCTTATTTAATACCTCTAATTTGTTATCCTTGAAATATAAAAATATACACAGATATATTTTGTATATAAATATACTTAACATATGAGAATTATACAGAAAAATGTAATACTTTCCACATAACCGACTACATTTTTCCTTTGTTACAGTTTTGATAATTTTGGACGTTCAATGAATTATTCACCATTTAACATAGATTACAAATTTTCTTTCGTTAAAATATGATTCGCAAATAACCCCACTCGAACTACATATTTTAAATTTTACATAAGCTAAAAGAATTTCAGTTGGTACAAATTCTAAATTATAAAAGATGCTAAATATGTGTAAATATCACTAAAAACAAAACTAAGAAAAAATTTTTTAAAAAATCTAGAAATCATTCACATTTATATTAAAATTTATAATTTTAAAATCATTTTCATCGAAAAAACTTCAAAGATTTATTGATAATAGATACATGAATATTTAATGAAAAATATAAAAATTCGAATTTGCATTCGTGAATAACGCATCGAATGTATGAAATTATTGCTTTCATGTCATGCGAAGTTTAAATGTCATTCGTTGTTTTTCTACTTCACTAGTTTCTATTCTTGTTAGTGTGGTAAGTTTGCATTTTACATCAAGATCTTATAAAACAAAACATAATATGATAATGCGATTAATGATAACGTGTGAACTCATTTCGCAGTCGCTTACCTGGATAGTACTGTAAAATTGTTTCACTCTTAGAAGTAAACTTTTAGTAAAATACTCTAAATAACTTTTATTCTTATTTAAGTTAATTGTTATTGTTCCGAATGGCCCCAGTGGCCGATGGAGGTGAAACTTGGCGTGATGTGCACGTGCGAGGGAAAGTGTGCACGTGCGAGGGAAAGTGTGCACAGCGATTCGCGCGAAAACTAGCCCTTGACAATATTTATGGCCCTTTTAGAGTTTTAAGTAGCTAGTTGACTCGGCTGGATGTCGTTGAGATATAAAACAGAACGAAGAGCGTACATTTCTGAGTCTCGAAGCAAACATCCTGTCGAGAAAGTCTACGTGGCTTAAACTTAAACTCTCAATTAGTTACAGTTCTTGAATAAAATCTTTCGACTATAATAACAAAACATTTCCGTTCCCGAGTTCTAACTTTCCATCGCCGTACCACGCATCTAACCCTTAGAAGATTTCCAGATACAGTCTATCTTTTTGAAACATGCATTATTGACAATTCAAATTGCGCTCCAGCTGCGCGCGTCGATCTCTCTAGATTAAGACCACCCTAAAACTATATTTGCAAGCATGCATGATGAGTGATTAAAGCTACGTTCACGCGATAGTGTAACATCCCAAATCTCTAATTCTCTTGCAAATGTTCACTCTAGTCCTTATTCCTGTACATATAAGTAGTACATACTTACTTACGAGTAATTTCATACCAAATCGATCACTTTTTAACGTTGACATCAGGGATTTTGTTTCAAATGAAATACAATGTAGTACACATGAAATTTATCTGGTTTCGAATTTGTTTAAAAAATACAGACCTTTGAATTTGGCAATTTTTGCACATTTTTATGAAAACGTGCTGTATTTATAAATTTTTATCTTGGAAACTGTTGGTCGAATTGAGCTTACTTTTGTTTTTGTTTTTGTTTTATTTGAATAGAATGGCCTTGTTGTAATAATATTTTTATTATTTGAAAAATTGATTTTATAATACTGAAAATTATAAACAAATTCTAATTTTTAAATTTCTCTATGATGGGCTAGAGGTGTTCAAATTTAAAAAAAAATATGTTCACATTCCTTGAAATTCTACCTACAAAATGAGCCCTTTTGCAGGAAGGAGATTTCCTGACTTTCTTTGATTTGATTGATGGATAACATAAGTGAATTCTGTAAATATATTTAAAACCATAAACACATTACATCATACCAACCCTGACGTATTCATTTGAAATTGTGACGGTATCTTACACTCTCCAACACTAGAGGGACGGACTAACATTAACCTTTCTCAATAGTCTTCGACAAGGCTTCTACTATTAAATATACGTAGCTCTCGAATGTACCTTCGCTCTCTGGAATCACGGTGTGGTTGGGTCGCCCACACCACCAGGAGTCACTGTTCGGAGGAGAATGTGGTGTTAAGTCCTTTTTGGGTGGGAGGGACTTCACTATAGACAAAATTGGTGTTGAAAAACGCTAAGTCTTCGAGGATGGTGCGGAAAACCCTTCAGGCCTAGGGGGGCGTTAGTACGCAACGTGGAGGTTTTGGTGGGTAAAAGTCCCACACGCCTGTTTCCTTAAACGGAAAACGGGCGGTCTTTTGAAGATTTCCTCCACGTAAAAAAAAAAAAAAAAAAAAGAAAATAACAAACAAAAATTTTCCAGGAAAAAGTTGTAATAGTTTTTCTGACTAATGTTTAAATCATCACAAAATCTCATAAACAACGAAGGCAGTTTGAGAAGCAAAGAGGGAGAACCTGTTTTTCGATCCTCGCAGAGTATTCCCCGTCTTTGCAATTTGGTCAAACGGTGAAGATTTTAAGGACAACGAATAAATGAAGGGAATGTGCTTATAAACAAGAGTCTCGAGACAAACCAAGCGATTTAAACACGAACTTTTTTAATTTTACGTTTTTGTTGACGATATTTATTTTATTTTAATTATTCTAAACATTTGAGGCACTCCTGTCACTGATGACCACCATGGCCCCATCGAGAAAACAATCTCCAGTCACAGGTGACCAACGTGGCAATCAATGTGTTAATACTTATTAAATGATTAATTTAATTTCATAATATATCGCTTTGGATGAATTACAAAAACAAATTGCTAAAAAAATACATTAAATATCTATACATATTATCCGTCGAATGTAGAGGGAGAGCCACCATTTAAAATTATGAAATTTGCCACCGAAAAATTATATTAAATTTGTTTAATCAAGGACATTCGTATTCGTCTATAGCAAATGTAGTGAATAGAAGTCGTTTTACAATTAAGAGTATTATTAAACGATTTTCTAACAGAAAATAATCTGAGTGCTCCGCAATGTGGTCGTCCTGAAAAGTTGATTGTGCGAGAAAAAGGAAAAATTATTAATATTGTTAAAGAAAACTTCACCAGTTCCGCCTCGGAAATAGCAGCAAATATAAACGAAAATTTGAACAAAAATATTCATAAAATTACTATTCGACGAATATTAAATAATGCAGAGTCTCAGTCGCATGTTGCGAGGCGAAAGCCAACTATCAATAAAATTAATTGGGATAAAAGATTAAAGTTTGCGAATAATTATATTATAAGAAAAAACGACTTTTGGGACACTGCAAAACAGAATTATATTGTAGTTCTATTTAACAAAATAAAGGTTTCCTTGAAATTTTGCAGGCACCTCCACCCAGATAAGACTTATGTCCATAATAAGATGTCCCCCTTGAAAAATAGTAAGTTCTATTTGACACACTTTTTAAGTAACGAACAGTTTGCATATTATGCATTATGCATTATTTATGCATATTGTATAATTTATCAGTTTTGAGAAGATACAAAGATTGTCCATACTGCACAGATACTTCTGTTTGTTTTTTTTATAATTGATTATATAACTCTAGTACAGAGAATCTTGTTATCTGTTACTTTGTTTAAATAAAACATTTTTATTTTTTGTGATAACTACTATGAAATATATAAAATAAGATCGTATTCACATAAATTATGAAGCACAGAATTCTGAAAACTGTATTTAGTAAGTAAGGATGTATTAATGTGGGAATAATTGAGAAGAATTTACACTTTAAAAATAATAGCTGAAAAATAATAGAATATTACATTGTTTTATTTACAAAATGACATGTTTAATGCATTAGTATAACCATAATAAAATTTCATTAACAAATCAAAC